TCTCCAATTTTTTTTTTTTAATCCATTGTTTTCTCTTCCATACAGAGAAGATGTGTCCTCTTTTCCATACCTAATGAGTCAACTCATCTCTTGATCCTGTTTCTTCTGACTGCTCTGGGCCTTGTTCTGTCAATGATCATTCCTTTGCTGGAATCTCCATTCACTCCCTTTGCCTACTTGTGAGAGTATGTGTAGTGGACACTGATCTACCACTCAGATTCTCTTTCAGGATTGATGGATTCAATCCCCCAGATGCCAGAAGTGCTGCTGGAAGATGGTCCTCAGCCATCAGTCCTCTTCAGAAATTGCTCAGAAGAAGAAAGTCACCTCACTCAAGATCACATCCTCTTCCCTGGGCAGCTCTCCTCTAATGACTGGGTTAATGTGGGGAATATAAAGACCAGCTCTCTCACCTTAACTTGAGACAACTCTTAAAGGTCTTCCCAGTTTCAGAGCTCCTTGAGTCTTGGCTAAAGACTTCACTGAGACTGCATCACTGCCCAGCTCTCCCTCAGTCCAATCTTGTCTCCTTTGCTTGCCTCCCACAAGTTGTTAAACCTGAGAGCATTCCCTAATTAACTTCCTGCATGCTAATCATCTCAGAGCCCTGCATCCCATCCTCCTTCTGACAGTATGTTTGTAAGACAAGGACATTTAATAATTTGTCAGGTAGTACTAGGTTGCCCTTTCAAAAATCTGTACAAATTTGCATGCCAGTCACCAATGTAGAAAAGTTCCTCTTTCCCTACACCCTAACTGCCACTACTGGAGATTAATCAAGCTTTTAAATCTTGCCATTTCATAAGTGACAGATGGTGTCTTATTCTTTATTTGTATTTTTTTAATTATGCTTAAAAGTGAGAATGTTTTTACATATTTACTGGCTATTTATATTTCCCTTTCATTTGCTTGTGTTATTTGCCCATTTTTCTGTTGCACAGTCATACATATTGGTAACGCACCATGTACCATAAATACGGTATATTAATTTCCAAGTACCGTTTGTATAGTAAGAAAGCTGCAAATAAGTTTTATCAGATTGCTTTTTGTTTGGTTTTGTTTAAGACTTTCTTCTGGCATTCAAATGTTTTGCATTTTTTAAATTTGTGAACATCATCAACATTTTTCCTGTGCTTCTTGGTTTTCTGTCATGCTTAAATTGGCATTTCCCATTCTAAGATTTGGGGGAAAAAACCACTTATATCTTCTTTAAAACTTAGCTCAAATGTCATTGCTGTCACAAATATGTCTCTGGGTACCGTGACCAGAGTTAACCCCCTCAATTCCCTTCTCCCTTGATGTAAATCACAATGCCCATCATATTCTGAGGGAAGGAATTCCATTTTAAATCTCCATGTATGCCCTCCAGTATCTAGAATGACTTAAAGTCCTACGTAATTATTTATTGAATTGTATTAACTAGTACCATTCGATTATGTGACTCTAACACTAAGGATTAGTGATTATATGTATACATACATGCATGTGTTTATACATATATAAAAACACACACATATATGTATATTCCACACGAATTCTCATTAGACATAAATATTGTGACTGGTTCTTTTTTTACTTGGAGAACTCTTAGTTCTGCTATCTTCAATCCTGAGCCACACCTACCAAGGCCTGACTGCAAAAGCAGCACATGAGAGTGAGGTCTCAGGGCTTGCCAAGTGACAGGTGACCAGAACACTCCTAGCTGAGGAGGCAGATCAGGCAGGGCAGTTCTTAGCAACAGGGCTGCATATATGGAGCCATGACACAAAGTGACCATCCTCCCCACAGGGTAAACAGAGCTCAGTCTCCCAACACCATGACCATCTGCCCCATCAGTGGCATAGATTCCTCCCAGGCTATACTTTTGGCTGGGAAGAAGTCCCTGATGACATTCAGGACCAGATACAGGCAGGTATCTTAACTAGGTGAATACATTGAGCTGTCAGCTCAGGTGGATCAGTCATTGCAGTTCCTATGCCCGGTAGTCCTAGTCTTGATTCATTGGTTTCAGTTTCTCCCTTCTCATTCTCTTGAGCCCATTCAAATATGGCTTTCATGCCACCACAACTTCTCCTGCCAAGGTCACAGGTCATGTCCACATTGCTGAACACAATGGCCAATTCTCATTTCTCACTGTCCGTGCCAGCAGCATTGGCCTGGTGGATCCCTCTCTGCTTGCTGAGGGCTCGATTGGGCTTCCTGCATACCAGTTTTTCTCATACCTCCCTGGATGCTTCTCCTCCTTTGCTGGTTCTTCCTCTGCTTACTGAGCACTTAACATTGGAGGACTCCCAAAGTACAGTCATTGGACCTATCTTTCTATCTATATTCATTTTCTTGATGATCCCAGCCAATCTTGGAGTTTTCATCACTGTCTATCTGCTGACAAATTCCAAATTTTATTTCCTTTAGCCAGACTCGTAGGTCCAACTGCCTACTCAACATCTCACTTTTGGATGTCTAACAGATATCTCAAATGTAACACTCCAAAACTGAGATTCTGCTCTTCCCCTTCCCCCAAAATCTGCTCCTCTCACAGTCTCTCCATTTCAGCAAATGACAACCCCATCCAACTGGTTACTCACACCAAAAACTCTCGTGTCATCCTTCACTCCTCTCCTTTTCTCACACCCACATTCAATCTGTCAGCAAATCTACTTTTACTATATCTTCAAAATATACGCATAATCTGAATCATCCTCACAACCACTCTGCTAACCACCTTGGGCAAGTTACTATCTCTTAAGTGTCTCTCTTTTCTCATCAATAACTGGGGGTAATACTAGCCTATCACTTACAGGGTTCACATTTGAAATAAAGGATAAGACATGTAAAGAACTTCACAAAGTGTCAAACCAATTGTTAGTGCTTGGCCAGGCATGGTGGCGCACACCTGTAATCCCAACACATTGGGAGGCTGAGAGGAGAGGATTGCTTGAGGCTGGGAGATCAGCCTAGGGAACATAGTGAGATCTTGTCCTACTAAAACTCAAAAAAATTAGCCAGGTGTGGTGGTGTGTGCCTATAGTCCCAGCTACCTGGGGACTGAGACTGGAGGATTGCTTAAGCCCTGAAGGTCAAGGCTGCAGTGAACCATGATCACACCACTGCACTCCACCCTGGGTGACAGAGTGAGACTCTGTCTCAAAAAAAAAAAAAAAGTTGTTAGTGCTTAATAAATTTTAGCTCTCATTATTATTTGTGGCCTCTCTTTTCTAGGTTTCAGGAAGACATGACTAGTAAAGTTGAAGCTATCAGCTCCTTTTCATAAAAACTGAGTTTTTTGGCTGGCCACATGGCTCACACCTATAATCCTAGCACTTTGGGAGGCTGAGGCAGGCAGATCACCAGAGGTCAGGAGTTCAAGACCAGCCTGGCCAACACATGGTGAATCCCTGTCTCTAATAAAAATAAAAAAAATATCCAGGCATAGTGGCAAGCACCTGTAGTCCCAGCTACTCGGGAGGCTGAGGCAGGAGAATTGCCTGAATCTGGGAGGTGGAGGTGGCAGTGGGTGGAGATCTCGCCACTACACTCTAGCCTGGGCAACAGAGTGAGACTCTGTCTCGAAAAACAAAACAAAACAAAAAAGAGTTTTTTTCTTCAGCATATGAAATTTTCATTTTAAAGATTCCAACTAAATGAGCTAAAGGAAAAGAAAAAGAAGCAAAGTCTAAATTAAACCTCACCCAGTAAAACTGTCACAAATATGATCCAAATAAAGGGTTAAGAAAGCACAATGGCAATTTGAGTCATTGGATTTCTTCTCTAGCCTGATTAAGAGTAATTTTCAGCTAACCCAGAAAATATTCTTGATCTAAAGTTATGTAAGATTGTCACATATCATACTGCATAGCTGTATACAGCCCTAGCTTCATAACCTGAAGTAATTCTGGGATATGAGTAAACTCATAGGATGTTTCTACAATAGCAACTGAGATAACAGCCACTATTTGTATAAAATAGCTTTGTTTTAGGGAGCCGCGGTGGCTCCGGCCAGTTGTTCTGGTGCTTGAGGAGGTGAGGCTATGAGTTCAAAGCCAACCTGAGCAACGTAACAAGCTCTCATTGATTAACAAAAAATTTTTAAAAAATAGCATTGTTTTATAAACCCATAGTCCCACTAAATCTATCATCCCAACTAATTATTAATAGGTAGAAAGATTCTGGAAAATCCTCAGTGTTAGCTGAGATGTCAGCAATATACAATAGGCCTGAATTATATAGGAAGCATCTAGGGTAAGTGCCCTAATGCATAAATTAGATATATGGATATCACTAATAATATAAACCATTGCACTAATAAGCAGAAAAATATTTCAGAGCATTCAACTTGTACTTTAATATAATTGCTTTGTTAATATATGTGATGAGAAACAATATTTGGATAAGAAAAAATGCTCATCTTTTAATGTTTTTGGAAAATAATGTTTATTCTTTATTCTTTCAGTATTTATCTCTCTCACCATATATATATCTCTGTTCATGCATGTGTGTGTGTATATGTATATATTGATCTCTCTCACCATATATATATCTCTATGTTCATGCATGTGTGTGTGTATATACATATACACACACACACACACACACACACACACACACCTAAATACATGAAACATCTACCACGTGCTGAGTAATGAGGAAACAATAGTGAATTGTTTTTATTACTAAGCTCCTTATAAAAATGTTTTTATCATTTTGAGTATAAGAGCTAGGTAACAATGGCCTTGGAGTGTTTTAAGTTGGGGAGTGCGGGGAATAACTAATATAAAATAATCAGGAATTTCCTGTTCTTAATTTATTAGCTTTTCTTTGTCCATATTTAATTATACTTTATGGTATTCTTAGAGTGATATATACAATGTAAACCAATTTAAATATCACATATATGCAAAAAGTTACTTAGTAAACTCCCATTAATACCTACCACAGGATCATTTTAGCCTATCCATGTATACTCTGTGTGCTAATTTTATTTATTTGTCTATTTTTTGTAGGAAGTCCTGGCTGAGCAAGGTTGGAAGCCCTAGTTCTCGCATTGACCGCACGAATTTTTCTAATGAAAAAACCATCTCTAAACTTGAATACTCTAATTTTAGTATCAGATACTAATAGAAGAGAAAAATCATAAAGCTTACACTCCACAACAGATACTGTATGTTCTTAAGACTATGTATATTAGAATAATGGTAGCAGAGTAGTATAAAAAAGAAACTTTGTTCTGAAAACTAGCTGATTGTATGTATTACTAAAAATGTCTGACACTGAAGTAATTTTACTAAACTGTGTTTTCAACAAGCAAAAATATAGAATTCTAAGATCAAAATGTCATTACAAGGTATTTAGTATGAACATTTAAACTTGTCTCATGGAATCTTTAATTTCAATGAATATTACAGCATATATGTTATTTAGTGAGACATAACACAATAAAGTTAACCATTTAAAAATTATTTTCACATACTGTTGTCTGTGTTGAATTATAAAATCCTCTGAATAACAATTTGTGACTACAGTTGAATAATTTGTTATTAAACTTTTTAAAAAGAACCAGTGGTTAGAAATAAATGTATGTGATGATCAATATAACTATAAAATATTACCAACAAATAATTTTAAATTCTGGTTAATGTGAACATTATTCAGTTGGAGCTACTTAATGCCTCCTATATGGTGGTGTCCAGTGAACATTCAGGCTGAATTGTGGTAGCTAACAAGAACTCACTACTTCAGTACAGCAGGCAGAAGATTTTCAACCACCACCCACAACAGATGTCCTATTAACCAGAAAAGAAACTGACAGTCTAAGTGAATCATATAATAATGTCCCCTAAACTTAGCCTATCACTTGGGAATCTTCACATGTAACTGATAAAGCAACAGAGAATTTAAGGGGAAGTTTTTTTTTCTATCACATAAAATTATAATATTGAAAAACTAGGACCTTTAATGCAAAACACTGGGGAATTTCAAATGTTGTAGGCATATACTTGCACATCTTCTGTGATTTTCAAACTTTTTATAGCAATGGAATCCTTCCTTAAACCAAAATTTTATGTAGAATTGAATACATAAGTTAAAAAAAAATCACAGCTACTGTAATTAAAGTAGAGATGGGAGTCCCCAGAGCCTTGCACACTTGGTGTCCCTTTCTCTACTGGGACAATTTCAAATACCTTGCTAGTACACTTTGAAAACTACTATTCTAGCTGTGGAACAAATCTCCATTGCTGTCCTCCATGGCCTGGAGAATGAAATGAAGGCCTTTTTCTCTTCTACCTACTGCAAGGTAAGAAATTAGAAGAGATGAAGAGCGGGGTGAGTTTGTTCATTGGGAAGGTTAACTCCTTGATGATAATATTGATATCACATGTATATAAAACAACACAACATTAGGGAATGACTTTCCAGACAAACAAAGGAATAAAGAACTTTTCTATTATTCTAATACCATCATCATGTTGAGTATTATACATGTCAAATGTCACATGGGAGAATCTGTTGAGATACTCATTTAGATTTTGCTCTCCTTCTGTTTCCCCACTCCTGATTCAAGAACGGCAGACAAGTCTTTGTGTTCCCTTATTTCAGGGAAAGCTTTGGGTGCCAGATCCCCACAGTTTGTTGGAAGACAAACTTTCTTCCAACATTTCATTTAAAAGAGAGCATTATCCTGTGGGTTGAGGAGAAAGACAAAGGCTGGGCTTTTAGAAGGTAAAAGAGAAGTGGTTGTAAGAGCCAAAGAGGACAAGGAGATTATCCAGGACTTTGGAAAGGAACCAAAGGTTGTGCATTTCCCAAGCTATGGAGACCTGCACCTTTCTCCCCAGTGGCGCCTCTGCATATAGCTAAACCTGAAAGGGAAGCAGCTATAGTACCCAGAGAAGCTAGATCCCAGGCCCAGGGTCTCCCAGCATTACTAAGATTCCTGTCTCCAAAACTTTTTCAAAGCATCCTACAAACACCAGCGTAGTTACAAGGAACCACAGTGATCTGAACAGTGGTCATAGTAACTGGTATGCGCTGGAAACCAGAGGTCTTTCCTTAACGTTTTCTCTATATATAACCCTTTATGTGCTCCTTCTGAGAGTGGGAACAAAGCAACAGGGATGACTAAATATCCACCTCCAGACAGGCTTGGGAGCTGGCTTGCTTTGATTTGGAGAAAATAAAACAGACTTTTTTTTTTACCAGCAAGTTTGAAAGCAAAACCCGTATCTCTCTACACATAGAAAGGCTAAGTGGGCCGGGCGCGGTGGCTCACGCCTGTAATCCCAGCACTTTGGGAGGCCGAGGCGAGTGGATCACGAGGTCAAGATATCAAGACCATCCTGGTCAACATGGTGAAACCCCGTCTCTACTAAAGCTACAAAAAATTAGCAGGGCATGGTGGCGCGTGCCTGTAATCCCAGCTACTCAGGAGGCTGAGGCAGGAGAATTGCCTGAACCCAGGAGGCGGATGTTGCGGTGAGCCGAGATCGCGCCATTGCACTCCAGCCTGGGTAACAAGAGTGAAACTCCGTCTCAAAAAAAAAAAAAAGAAAGAAAGAAAGGCTAAGTGATTGAAAAAAATATATGCTCTCAGAAGTGACACCAATATGTCGCTTTTTATTATCCTGATATCCTTTGGCAGTCCTCTTTAAAAAAATCACACTTTGCTAGAATAATCTTCTAACTGCACAAAGTGAATCCCACTAATCGAGATTACTTAATGATTAGTACATAACTAAATTTTATTACTAGATGAAAAATGTAGATTATGGTTGAAAAATGGGTGTTCAGGAGTGGGTAGGAAGCAAGGGAAATCAGGCTAAAGCAATATAAAAATGTGCTATGGAGACCAGGCAACACTTCTCAACAGTAAACTTAATATGCCGAATTTCATATTGAATTTACACAGCGAATTTTTAATTTCCATTATTTTAGATAACAAATTGTGATAGGTTTGTGTCAGAATTAGACATTTTAGAAACCAAGAAAAAATTTAAGCAAAAACTGGAGACCTACATTTCAGTGACTATCAACCAGTGATCTCAACACTCCGTGCACCCATGCTATTCCCCCAAGACACGACATATCAGAATTAGGGGAGAAGTGTGATTATAAAATCATATTATTTTCCACATTTGTACAAAAATATCTTTTTGTTTTTGAGGCAGGGTCTTGTTCTGTTGCCCAGGCTGGAGTCAGTGGCATGATATTGGTCATTGTAGCTTCGACTTTCTGGGCTCAAGCAATCCTCCTACGTCTGTCACCCAAGTAGCTGGGACTATAGGTACATGCCACCACACCCAGCTAATTTTGTTTATTTTTTGTACAGACCAAGTCTCACTATGTTGTCCAGGCTGGTCTCAAACTCTTAGACTAAAGTGATCCTCCTGCCTCAGCCTTCCAAAGTGCTGGGATTACAGGCATGAGCCACTGCACCCAACTAAAAATGCTGATTTTTTAAACCCAAGAAGTTCAATAGAATTTTCTTAGCTGGAGGGAATGTGCAAAAAAACCAGACTCTTTACCGGTAAGGCACATAGGAATGACAGGGGTGTAGGAGACAAATTAGATTTTTATCTGAGGAAGGGTGTGGGTCTCTAAGGTTGAAGAGAAGCAATCCAAGTTTCATCTGGGAGTGGGAATCTTTAAGTTCGGGGAGTACCCTAAGGCCTGAAGAACACAGCGTAGCACCTCACAGTACAAAGGCAGAAAACACTGCAGAAGGCAGGAACAGGCAGTGGGTGGAGACAGTCAGCAATATCAGTCAGTCTGACTTTGCGGCAGGCTGATCACCATTTTTAAGACTAAGTATTTTTAACTTCACCTACTGAAGGAATTTTTCAAAAGTATGTATCACTAAACTCATATAGGGACTACAGAAAAACAGAATTCACTTCTAAAAATTAGCTTGTATTTGAAAGTATACAGGCCACAAATATACTTTACACAGTAACTCTCCTTGGTTTCTGTTGATAAAGAAATGTTCTCTATTTGGTTAAAAGGAAACATTTTCATGTCTGGGACTAATTTCAGGAGCTGAAAACAGGCAGCATGGTATGGCAGAGAATGCTCTGCTCTAGGAAGCAGAAGACCTGCATTCTGGCCCAGTCTATCCACTGATGAGCTGTGCCTCAGTTCCCTCAACTGCAAAGTCAAGAAGTTAAACTAAATCAGGATTTTGTACTGCATTCCATTGAGCCACAGGACTCCCAGGAGGTGGTACCAGGAGGGCTACAGAAGGGCAGTCAGAAAGATGGGCAATCTGACCTTGGCCCAGGGCCCTGATCCCCACACCGATCAGAGCAGCTCCACCCCCATCTCTTCCATACATCGGGATTGTCCATAAGACATCTTTGAGAAGAATTCTGCCTCAAAGAAAATTTTCAAACCACAAAGACACAAAAAAATTTAGTATCTAGGGTCTTCTTTTTTCAGTGTCGATAAATGCTAAACTCAAATGCAGTTCCCATTCTCCTGATACTTCTGTCAAGCCCATGAAGTATGTGCATGTAACCTTAAGCTATTTCTGTTGAAAACACATATAATTCATGAAAAGTACTATTAGAAAAAAGTTCTTCTTTATAATGGTTTCCATGAAGGTCCACAGTGGCTAAGGTGGCTACATTTTTTTTTATTTTTTATTTTTGAGACAGACTCTCACTCTGTCACCCAGGCTGGAATGCAGTGACACAGTCAGGGCTCATGGCAGCCTCAATCTCCTGAGTAGCTGGGACTACAGGTGCCACCTGTAATCCCACCAATTTTTCTATTTTTGGAAGTTTTTTGTAGACACAGTGTCCTGCTATGTTGCCCAGGCTGGTCTAAAACTCCTGGCCTCAAGCGATTCTCCTGTCTTGACTTCCCAAAGTGCTGAGATTATAGGGGTGAGCTGCTGTGCCCTGTCAGCTAAAATATTTCTGAAACTAATTTTCTATTGTCTTTCATTCCTATTCTTACCTTACCGTGATTTTAAAAATTCAAGAGGAAATATACATATATAATTTGTGGATTAATTAAAAAGTGTCTTATAAGCATATCTTGGGGATCTTAACCTAACATTTAGAACGGGGTGTAAGAACTACTTTTTCTTTTCTTAACTGGTTCAAATGGTTTTGAATAAAACTGACATCTGAAAAAATTTTAAATTTTAGAATTAAAAATTCTAGTCACTGTATGATCGCTTTAGCTGGTTTTTCCATAGAAATGCGGTTCTTTGTATTTGCCTTTCAGAGAGCCTGACTTATGCTTTATTCTCTGCTGGAAATATCAGTACACATTCCTGGTTGGACGTTCCAGATACTTTTTTCATCCTCAAACTACATTTGTATTAGTTTTATTTTCCATGTTGGCAAAGTGGACTTTGCAAATAGCAGTGAATACAAGCCTGTAATGTAGATTTTTCTCTCTTGCTCCCATTTTTTACAAATATTAGAAGACAGAGAGAAAAAGAGAAGGTGCAAGA